GGGCAGCAGTGGGGCAGCGGTGGGCACGGGTGGAGGCAGCGGTGGGCACGGGCGGAGGCAGCGGTGGGCACGGCAGGGGGCAGCGGTGAGCACAGGTGCTGGCTGAAGGAGGAAGCAGGGTCCTGGCCGAGGGTTTGGACCTGACGGGTGCCCCCACCATTGCCTGGTGGCGCCACAGCTGCTTACGTAGAGATCTGAGGTGGCCCAGCTTTGCCGTGCCGTCTCTACGGCCTTGGTGGCCAGTACATAAAGATGGGAGAGGGCAGACAGCCCAGGCTCCCCATAGGATCAGCCTGGGCTGGGAGGGTGGTGGCCGTCGGGGCTGAGAAGAGGGGAGGAGGGACAGGTGGGGGCGTCAGCCGCTCCGTCCAGCTTGCTCCAGCGTGGGCCTCCCCTCAGCTGCGGGCCCCCCCACTGCTGTTGGCCCCACTGGGACCCCTTCCCCAGCTGTGAGTGGGGGGTGAGGAGGACTTTCGTGCCCTTGGCCTGGCTCTCTGGGGGCACTGAGGGGTCTGGGAAGAGCTCGTGTGGGTGTCGGTGCCCGGACCAGCCCCAGCCTGTCCACTGAGAGCGGTGGGTGGGCCTCAGTGGGTGCAGGGAAGGCGGGACTAAGGCTGCAGGGGCAGTGGAGGAAAGGGTCAGCTCTGGGGCTATCTGTCCAGACAGGGAGAGGGACGGGGGTCTTGGCCCAAGGGGCCCCTGACCCCAGTTAGGAGACACTGTTCCTCCCCTCATCCCCCCAGGCCCCCACTGTGGCTCAGCTCTGTTGTCCCAGCAGCCCCTCCCTGCAGGCCACCCAGGCCGCCCCCCCCCAACCCCGCGTCTGCATTGGGGTTGGGGGCTGGACTCCTGGGTGCTCCCTAGACCCTGCAGCTGTCTCGCTATTGTTCCCATGTCCTGGGTGCTGCTGCCTGCCCCTGACGCCCCTGGAGGCTCCCAGGCTGGGCTTCTTGGGCCTGTGGGCACCCGGTGGAGCGGGCCTGGGGTGGGCTCAGGCTGGGGCTGGGGTGGGCGGGCCTGGCAGGCTGACTCTCCTCCCTCCCAAGAGGAGCTGCTGATTGAGCGGGTGTCACACGCGGGCATGATCAACCCCGAGGACCGCTGGAAGAGCCTGCACTTCAGCGGCCACGTGGCCCACCTGGAGCTGCAGATCCGGGTGCGCTGTGACGAGAACTATTACAGCAGCACCTGTAACAAGTTCTGCCGGCCCCGCAATGACTTCTTTGGGCACTACACCTGTGACCAGTATGGCAACAAGGCCTGCATGGACGGGTGGATGGGCAAGGAGTGCAAGGAAGGTGAGAGGGCCCACAGCTGTGGCAGCACCCACGCACACCTGGCTCCCTCGGGGCAGCACCTGTGGTCCTGGGCTACAGCGGCCCCTCTCTCTGTTCACAGCTGTGTGCAAACAAGGATGCAACCTGCTCCACGGGGGATGTAGCCTGCCGGGGGAGTGCAAGTGAGTGTCGGCGTCCGTCCCCCCACACCCCCGAGTCCCAGTGGGACCTGCACTCAGTGGGGCCATCAGGTCCACTCACGGGTGCTGTGCAGGAGCGGGCGCTCAGTGAGGGAGCTGGGAGGTGTATAGTCGTCAGCAGGGGTGTGTTCAATGGTGATGGCCAGGAGGACGGCCAGGCAGGGGTGTGGAGGCTCCAGGGGGGGTCGTGCCACCCCAGGGCATTGGGCAGAGACTGAGAGGCCTTGAGCCCCTGAAGGATGTACAGGGCATCCCAGAGAGGAGGGGGCCGCAGAGGCCTCCAGGGACACGTGCGACCCAAGGGCCATGGGGCATGCTCTCTTCAAGTGAGGGAAAAGGGGTTGCTGGGGGACTTGGGGCAGAGAGGAGGGGCTGCTGTGAGGATCCGGTGAGTTGAACCAGGGGAAGGTGGAAGGTGGGTGGGTCCTGCATTCTGGGGTTGAGCCGAGGGATCTGGGGATGGTTTTGATGATGTTGTGTGCTGTCAAGTCAATTCAGACTCATGGCCACCTTGTCGGACAGAGTAGAACTGCTCCATGGGGTTGCCAAGGCTGTAATCTTTATGGGAGCAGGCTGCCGCATCTTTCTCCCTCAGAGCAGCTGGTGGGTTCAAACCACTGACCTTTCGGTTAGCAGCCAAGTGCTTAATCACTGGGACACTGTAGGGTCGCTATGAGTCAGAATCAACTCCACGGCAATGGAATCTGACGTAGGAGCGAGAAGAAGGGGGCAGGGTCAAGGAGGACCCCAAGCCTTTTAGCCAGAGCCACTGAAGAGAGGAGCTGCTGTGACTGAGTGAAAGGGTCATGGGGGCACAGGCTGGGAGAGGAGAGGGTGGATTCTGGAGGTGATGTCTGCGTGGCCTCTTTGACACCCTGGGAGACGCTGAGGAAGGGGTGAGTTATAAGGAGGGGCTGGCTCTGGACACACTGGGTACCTTTGCCATGCAGTAGTGTTGAAGCCCCGCAGCTGGGGCAGACGAAGAGAGTTGCCGGGAGCGTGCCTGGCCTTCTCGGGCCAGTAAAGGTGTGCAGATGGCCAGCGGCGGCAGGGGTCAGAGAGCCAGGAGAGTGAGCAAGGGTTGCTGCCGCCGGGGGCCTCACTCATAGACCTCCACTCTTCAGCGGCTCTGGCTAAGAGGCTTGGGGTCCTCCTTGACACCTGTGTCTTCTCCTCATCTGAGACCTTGGCGGTGTTTGAGTGGAGGGTGGAGCGAGGAGAGGAGGGGGAGCAGATGATCTTTGTCTGATAAGTGTGTGGGGGGCAGCTGGAAGGGCCCGGGAGGAAGGCTGCAGAGCTGAGGCAGAGTGGGGCACAGAGGGTGCCCTGGGAGACCAGGCTGAAGTTCTCAGGGTGAGCCCTGGGGAGGGGCTTCTTGGTGCAGGAGGGGCGAGGTGGGGTGTGAGCAAAAACCAGGACCTCCCTCTTGGGCTGGGGTGTGTTTTCAGACACTGAGGCAGAGATCAGCAGCTTGCCCAAGGTTGTGGGCAGAGTTTGGGAGCCGACTGGCTTCGGGGAGAGGGGAGAACATCAGGGGCCTGGGACGGGGGTGAGGAGCCCAGGACAAGGAGGCAGTCAGGCTGGCAGGGGTGGGCTCAAGGGAGCATCGGCAGAGTGAGAGGACCCTTGGCGGGGAGGTCTAGTCTAAGGCGGACTTGTGTCTTGGGGGACAGGCACCCCCAGGACTATATCTTGAGTGGGGAGAGGTGGGTGTGATCTGTGCAGGGCCCTGGTCCTTGTGCCGGCTCTCTGCTAGGCCTTTGGCCTGTGCCGTAGGGGTGACCATGGGGACTTGGGGCAGACACTCTCAGCCCCCCTTCAGTCAGCACGGTGGGGCCGGAGCTTGTTCCCCGTCGGTGAGTGTGGTGGGGCTGGAGCTCACCACCCGCCCCCGTCAGTGAGTGTGGTGGGGCTGGAGCTCACCCCCCGTCAGTGAGTGTAGTGGGATTGGAGCTCCCCCCCCGTCAGTGAGTGTGGTGGGATTGGAGCTCCCCCCCCGTCAGTGAGTGTGGTGGGGCTGGAGCTCGCCCCCCGTCAGTGAGTGTGGTGGGATTGGAGCTCCCCCCCCCGTCAGTGAGTGTGGTGGGATTGGAGCTCCCCCCCCGTCAGTGAGTGTGGTGGCATTGGAGCTCCCCCCCCCGTCAGTGAGTGTGGTGGG